TAGGCTATAGAAAAGAGCATGAGGGCTTCTAGGAAACCTGGAGAGAGACAGAATGGTCCAAAGAGCTGCATCCAGTGCAACAGGGTGGGGTTGGGGCAGGGAGCCACTAATGAAATAAATATGGTTTACAAAAATTCCATACTTAAAAAGGCTCTTTTACCAAACTGACAATCGAGCTAAATACCTCACGAGGCGTCACTTAAAAGCCCGGTCATAACCTACCTACCTACCAAGCCTACCAGATGGCCAAGACTGGAATTAGGAGGCTACAAGACTAAGCTGCTGAGTTCCTAGCTCAAAATTAAAACCTTTTCTGAAATTCCAGAGGCATATCTGGGCTCAGGCTGGAGCTGAATTGCAGGAAAGATTATATATTTGTCTTTCACTACCATGAGTCAATACTGAAGAGTTTTAAATCTGTCCTGTCTTTACCAGTTCCATAGGCAGCAGATTAACACTGGGGTTGCTGTGTACAATAATTAGTTCTCAAAGATATTTAATTTTGTATGTTATGCTTTATGATACTGCGATGCAGAAGACAGTATGTTCACCGTGTTATGAAAGGAACCCTGATGAGCTGAGCATACTGGAGCATTGGAGTTACTGAATTTATTAGAGGTGTTTGTTTTTTCTTACAATTTGATTCTTTAGAAGCCAATTGAGATTAATTATTTTTTGGGAAGCTGGCCTGTTTGGAATGATACTACTGAAGTTACTATACACAGCAGGGAAAAAAAGTCTTCATTTGCATTTCTATTTGTAAATATTCATCTAGATAAAATAATCATTAAAAGCGCATGTTTATAGTTTACTAGGATTTAAATAATTTAGGCATTATGTTTAGCATTCCAGTGCTTGTACAATAGCCTTCTAATGTCTCTTTAACAGGAGCTATGGGATATTGGTTCACCAAAACTGTTAGTCTCATGGCCCATTTTTCCCCAAAGTGATATTTGACTCAGTGTGATAATACAGCCTAGCATATGGCTATATGAAGCCCGTTCCCTACAAACAATAGCCCAGTTAATGTCGGTATTTCACAGGGATTTGGCTGGTGTTCTGCAGAATCTGATTTTTTGAAAGAGTACAGAGCAGAAACAAAGAGCATTAGTTGGGAGAAGGTGCCTCAGTGTTGGGAATGAAAGATAGAAGTATAGAGAGCAAAGTGACCTAAAATACTTTTAGATGAGTTATAATGCATTTATTTAATGGATGAAGAACTTTTCAAGTGCTGAAAATTTTTATATAATATATATACACACACACACACAAATACATATATAAAATAATAGAGATTCACAGGACTATTAGTGTCAAACTAAGGAGGACTGGGATGCTGGTATTGTGGAAATTAGGTGACAGAGCTAGCAAAACCCACATTTTTTTTAACCCAACTCACTATTAGATGAATATGGAATACTGCAGCTCAGCTTTGGGTCTTCCCAGGGCTGGACATATGCTGGAGACATGATTGTCTACATATGTGGGCACATGTAAAATCATAGCTGTTGTTAAAATAAGAGGCTTTAGCAGGCTGCATTAAGTTTTAAATAGAATCTATTAGATATCGATTTCCAGGAGCAGTCTCAAAAGACAAAAAAGTAAACCTGGTCTTGGCCAAGGAATCACAACTGCTTCAAAGAAAGCATCCTCTGTTGAGCTATCTGATTAAGATCTGGGCTTTTAAAAAAGTTCTTAAACCTTTTCTTTTTTGAATTACCAGTTAGGTAGCATAGGCAAAGACAATGACGGAAAACATAGTTTGATTTCTCCATCTTTATTTTTTTTATATTTAATCAGTTAGCAAGCTTCTTGATTCTTCTGTTCTTTTTATTGTTTATTGAACAGGATGTAAGTATAAGAATGATGACTTACACAGTTTTTCTTCTAGCTAGGTAAAATCTTTGGAAACCTGGATACATGGCAGACAGAAGTAACTACTCATGCACTGGGAAAGGTCCCAAGCAGCAAACAAAACCTTATGAGTAATTTTATTAAATCATTTCAGTGCTGCGCAAGAAATCTGGGTCCTACTGAAATCAATGGAAATTTTGCTATTAATTTCAGGGCAACCTTGGTTTTACTTTTTGTTCTCAAGTATCATGAACATGTGTGTGATATTCTGTCAACTGAGGATTATCTGTTGCCAAATGATCCCAGCAATGGATTAACAACCTAACCCAAATTGCCTTCAGAGCCATTAGAGATACCCTATGGTGCACTTTTCCTTACACTTCCAAAACTATTCTGTATCTCACCTTCTCCTTGCAAAAGATAAATGTTCCAAGGACAGCATATTCTAAGCTTTAATTAACATCTGCTTTGTATTATCTCTGTTGTGTTTTACCCAAATGTTCTTAAACATATTTTCACACGTGATCATGAGCTGAATATAGCATGTGCATGTGCCTGACTTCATGTGAACACAGTCAATGTATGCTCTTGAGTCCCTTCTTACATCATTCTTACTGGATCCATCCCTTGCCCATTTTGAAGCTTTTTAATTTTCTCCAGAATGCCAAACCAGCCTCCCACTCCTATCGGCAACTTGTGATAGGATGAGTAACAAAAATGAACAAGTCAGATATGACATGTGGCAAATTTAAACCTCGTCAGCTCAGGGACTTCTCAGAGTTTCAATGTACATCCTTTTCTGGCTGCTGGTACTACAATGTGTGAGCACTTGGGTGCTTGCAAGAAATAAAGTCCAAGTACTTTTGTTTGTTTTTTTGCTGTTTTTATTGATTCTTCATTTTTCAAATTACAGTTTCTTTTGACCTAAAATAATATCTGTAGGGCTTATTTTGTGCCACATTCAACAATTTTCTTGAAAAACTACTTTCTTGAAAAGTCTACGTTACTTGTTCGGAAAGTTAATTAAAGGAAGCAACTTGTTCATCCGGGGTGACACCGCTGTATGGATACACAATTGTGTGACAAACCCATCCAACAGGACTGTGACTTTCTATCTGCTGTAAGCCACCTTGTCTCCCAGTGGCTGGCTCTCCTGGGAGGCAAGTCCTTCACTGGGAGCTTCACTAGGGCTGTTTTCTGCAGATGGCTCTCCATTACTTGCACTTCCTGAAAAGACAATATAATTAAGATTAAAATAAATGTCATAGCTTTGATGCAGTAAGCTAAAAGGTATACAATTTGTCAATGACACTTAAGAGCCTTTTTATGCAGCTATAAATGTTCAGGAAGCTATTTTTCTCAGTTTGCAGTCCATTTGCAAAATGCTTTAGGGTAATGACAGATCACCTAATGGTAATTAATTATCATGCTTCCCGCATGCTTTAAATAACTGCCACTGGAATGCATAATAGTATGCAGTCCACCTGTGCAAGACATTCTCTTTTTTGTATTATCTCCTGATACTCATCTACCAGGCAGGAAGCGTGGAGAGCATTATTTTTTTGTCTTTCTGGCATATATAAAGCCCCAAGCACCCACCTCTGATAGATCTCTTCTTCCTTATTCTTTACCTTCTGTGATTTTAGTCTTGCACCCTGTTTCAGAAGCGCAGTTGCCTCAACAAGACCGGACTGTGCCATAAAGTGTACCGATGGTGTTTATTTAATGTATCCTACCAAGAGTGCTCTCATTGCTGCACAGAAGGCCCTCATACTAAAGGAATCTGTTTTCTAGTGGAGATTTCCAAAAAGAAGGTGTGAATAGAATGGGTAAAAGATGAATGCTAACCACAACATTCCTGATTCGGTCTTGATTCAAGTCTGAACTATAAACACTGTTGCTTTATTTGGACTCTTGTGTGGCTACACATGGTGTCTCAGAGAAAATGCAGAAGGCTTCAGCTTTGCTAGCCCTTGAATTGTCTACAGGTGTGGTCCAGTCTGGCTAACTTGGACATGTAAAATACGCCTAAATGTCTAAATTTAGGCACGAGTTAGGCAGACAAGATTTCACTTCAGAGACACTAAATGTATCTCCTCCCCAGTTGCAACACTGCTTACAGAGGCACTTATTTTAGGAGGGCTGGTTCTGTTTAGATACCAGTTAGATGAGTAAGAGATGTAGACTCGAGACCTGTTTGGGATGCAGTGAGAGGCCCCTTATAAAGGCACTTACTGTTATGCAGTGCAGTCCACCACTATATGCAAGGGGAATTTTAGCATTCAGACATACTGTCTGAATATGCATAAACATTCTGGAGCTCCTGTTTTTAACTGAATTTCAAGTTGTTAACACATTCCCTGGAAAAAGCCATCCACGGCTTTTTTCCAGAATGGCCACTCTTCTTGTTTCTCGTTTTGATGTTTCCCATGGAAACCATCGTAATTCAGAATATAAAGCAGTCTTTGAAATGCAACCATGGGAACTCCATTTACGAAATCCAAACCTTTTTGAGCACCATCACTTTCATAATTCCCCAGGTAAACTGCCCCCACAACAAACTGGTTTCAAACAAAACTTGGACAGATTTATAGATCATCTGCAATGAAACAGATTCAAACTTTCCTCCATAATTTGTAAAGGCACTGCCAGTGAATACCATGCAGAATCACTGCATTTATGAAATTACTTTTGTTAAATTATCTTCAATTATGACAACATACATTTCAATTATATGCCAGGAACAAATGATACATTCCATCATTAAATATTGCAGTCTGATCACAAAATGAAACACCTACTTCAACTTGGACAATATTTTTGCTAAATGAAAAGAAAATTACAGGTAACAGTTAAGCTGCATATATACACAACAGCTTCTAGATCCAGCAGTGAATAACCTAAAAGACATGTAACTTCAGCTGTACAAGAGATTCTAAATATGAGAGGCTTTATTCCAGAAACTGAAATTTATGAATTTAAGATTAACTCGGTTTTCTGTTGGACTGAGACCTAGGGTCTAAGATATTGAGTTTTGAGCCTTTAGTTATCCCTAATTTGACATTTCTAGGTCAAGACTTTTCACATCACAGTAAACAAAGGATGAAGAAAAAATTCTGAAGAGATTTTATGATCAGTGGTTTGTCCAGTTCTTCTCCATTTTACTGAAATATTTTGGGTTTTTTGGTTTGTTGGGGTTTTTTTGCTTATAGATCACAGATGATAATTGAAGCTGGAAAGACATTGGTTTGAAGGAAGATGTGAGATGGACAAAACAGGATTCATCACAGTTGGTTGAGATTGCATCAGACTAGACAGTCTACAGCTTTGCACTTGGATGTGAAAACTGAATTGTTTAATTGGCAATTCCTTTTGCTGCCACACCTGTAAACTACATCTAATTGGCATGGGGCCACAAATTGCAACCTACAACAACTGAGACTCAGCAGTCAGGATGAACAGTGTCACATGCAATCCAAAAACACTATCATGAAGATTTATAATTTTTGAAAGGCAGGAATCTGCTCTTTTTTCCACTAAGTATGTGCTAGATTGGCTCTCACAGTAGCTGATTGACAAATAGGTAGCTCCCCCTCAGGATGGAGCACAAGGTACATCATCCAAAAATGGTTTGCAGCAGTGCTCTCTCAAATCCAGCATCCAACATCATGCCAGGATCCCATAAAACATCCTGGCAGGTCTCCAGGAACAGATTCTGGAGGAGTCAGGTAACAACAGAGGTGAAGTGCTTCAGCTCTGAAGGGAGGTACAGCAAGCTACCTCTGGTACAAGGAGGCACACCAACCAAGCAGCAACATGATGTTTAGGGATTTTTTAAAAAAAAAACAACACCCTAAAGATTTCCATTCTCTTGACTGAACTCATTCTAGAATCTCCTTTGTGCACTCCTGCAGAATGTGATTTTGGGGAACAACGCAAGTGATTAACTTGTACTGATGGACTGACACTGCTTTGACATGAATTGCAGCACAACCTCATCTCAAAAAGAAATTGAGGGTGTTCAGCCATCAGCATCTGGAGTTCATACAGTCCTTCTAGCTAAAATGATGAACATTATGAATGTTTTTTTCACAAGAAGGTGGGCTCAGATTGTTATCAAGACACCCACAGCAGGCATCTCTGTAAGTTACCATCCCATGTTGGGGTCTGGAGCAGAAATGGGTTTTATATGATGTCTATTTAAGTAGAAGTCATATGAGAAGTTTCAGTATTCCAGGGTGAGATAAGATTAAAGATGACTATCAAAGCGAGGTGACAAGCCAATGTTGCTGTGAGATGGAATTTAGAAGTGAACTGTGTAGCTGCATTACCATGGTGCTGAGGCCAAGCAAATACTGGCTTGAAGAGCAGGCAGGGTGTACTCACTTCCGCTTGCAGCATAACATGTTGACATGTACTTTTTAAACCTTCTCCTTGACAATCTATACTCCATAAATCTCACACTGTGTGGCTTGTTTTAATAAATTTGACTCATCTTTGTGAAGTCTTCCAGTGTGGTTTTCTCTCCCTCTCTCAATTTTTATGTTTAACATTCAAGTATTTGGTTTTGGCCACTGACGAGGGCAGGATATTGAGCTAGGCAGACCATTGGACTGACACATACACAAATGTTGTTTTGTTCTTATGCCAGTCTGGATGGTTTTAAACTTTCTCCATCTCAAAAACAGTCTGTAGATATTTTCCCACCTTTTGGGGGGATTTTCTGTCAATGCTGGGAGTAGCCTCTGTCCGTGGTGCTCGGTCAATAGCCATGCTGCCAGAGCTGTGACTTCAACCAAGTCTGGCATTATGCAGCCATACTGCTGTGAGATTAAGTAAGTCCCAAAAGATCTAGAAGCTATACACAGGACTGTTTAAACATCAGAATCAAGCTTTGCAAATTAGGAATATCTCGACCAGCAGAAAGCCATCAGAGAAATCAAAATATCCCCTCTGAACTTAATGACACTGAGGAATACTAAGAAATTGATGAAAAGGCCTGCAGCAAAATCCTGAGTCCACTTTTGAAGAAAGACCATGAGTAACGCTTTGGTTTTGTATGAGAACCACCAACTTGGTGGTTCAGAGACATTATAGTTTCCATTTGAAGCGGTCTGTCAGGCACAGATAGCCTAGGTAGCTTGGTGTCTTGGAGAGTACATTTTGTTCCCAGAAATGCAATATCCATTCGAAGCAGAAAGGGCCTGGACTGTGTTCACTGTGAAGATGAGCCCTTAGGACATAAGGAAGACTTGCAAGCTTGCAAGCTTCCAAGAATAATTCAAAACATCTCAGTCTGCCAAAAAGGGATGGTTTTGTTTGCTTTTCTTGAGGCTATCCAAATTTATTTACAACACACACAGACATGAAGGGGAGTTTATTTACCAGAATAAATGGAGTGTTCAGAGCAGAAGATTGAAATCTCAGCAGATGTGGTCTTACTGTTCTAAGCAGTAAGAAAAAATTGAAGGGATCTCACAGCTGCATGAAAATTTATGGAGACGAAGAAATACAAGGGGCATAACAAGCACAGCTACAAAAAACCCCAAAGAAACCATGTAGTGTGAAGTCAAAACATGCAGGACCGATACTGAGATGTATCTAAAGTCTCAGCTGCAACTTTAAAGTGGATGGAAATTATTGTGCTCCTATGTCACATGAATCTCAACATTCTCATGTTAGGTGCTTCGAGTAGACAAAAGTCCAGTTTAGTAAAAGTCTATATTATGACTGCAAATAGCAGACTGTTAGAAGATATAGCTTCATTTACACACCGTGTGCTTTAGAATAATTTTGTTTAGTGTTGCATCAGTGTCTCAACTATATACCCTGGACAGTGCAAGATGTTTCATCTATGAAAAATATTTTTTGACACTGACATAACTATAAAATTAACAGGACTACAGCCAGAGGGAAATATTAAGCAGAGAATTTAGGTTTTATTTAATGACATAAAACATTCTGCTTACCGGTGGATGCTTTCAGTCTTCTGATATAATCAGACCAAAAGGAACAGTCTGCTTTTTTCAATCCTTTAAGAGTTGGCAAGGAAACAGTGAACTCCTTGTAGTTATCACCATCATCATTTGGCAGATACATAGGCCAGTGGGGTATCACCCCAGACATTCTTCTTGAGAAACTATGAGGATAGTTTGGATTTCTAAAGGAACAGGAGAAATAATCATTGGAAAACAATGACTTGAACACTGAAACGCAGAAGGTGATAGCCTGGGTCAAGGAAATGTGTATCCAGTCCCTCTGACCAGTAGTGTTCAAATTCAGTCCAGACTGGTGAATCATTCACAGTGTCTCACCTGATGGTAACTCGTTAGTCTGGTTCACTTTCTAGGAAACAGGTACACAGAACCTGTATAGACACAGGCTTATGAATGCCCTCGACAGGTCTCACTCCCAAAGCAACCCAAGGTACTCTTAAAAAGCACGTGAAATCACAGTTCCCACACTAGCTTTCCAGAGACACTCCTCATTCTTGAGCATGGTCACAGCACAGTAAAGCTGAGGGTTATTTCCTCAGTAGTTGGTAAAGGATTCACTGTGTCTTTGTGTGCTTTCCCCTTTCTTCTGGGAATAAGGGCACTTTTGGCCTAGACCCTTCAGAATTTGGGTCCTAGACCTAAGTTCGGAAACAACACCAAGGCCTTTGTAGCCCCCATATGTTTAAGTAGAATCTGCAGCTGCTCCACGGAGATAAAATACCTATTACTTCCAGCTAAGTGTCATACTACAAATATTTGGTATCTGCTTGACAAGCATTTGGTATCTGACTTTCCAATACTGTTGACCATCTCTCTCTCTGTAGGATTACAAATTGCTAGAGGAAATGGAGACTACCTGAGTGAGGGGAGGATCTGGACACTATTCCCTCTACTTCTTGCCCCCTCCTCAACCATAGCAATTCTTAAGTGTCACATACTTACCCCGAGTTTACAAAATTAGAGATATATTGCATAATTTTCAAGGAAAGGCTCTTTTCTTCCAGAGTAAATTGTTTTTCATACTTAGGGTAGAATGGCAGTCCAAATGCATACTGAACATCCAGCAAGAGCTCCTGACCTGAACTAAAAAAAAATATTTATATAAAGATAATTAAAAAGATTATTTATTTATTTGTGTGAAAAAGGGAGAATAAAGCAAAGTTTTAAATAATTAATGACGATTAATTAGAGTGTGGTGAGCTGTGGGGCTTCTTCAATTCAGAACATAAAAGAAGAACAAGCAATAACAAGGAGAATTTGCTATTAAGTTAATGTAGGGTCTTCAACATTTGTTATAAGAGGAAATTGTGGAAGACAGCAGGGCATATTTTCTAAATTAACTGGGCATATAAGTGAAAGTTACAGAGGGAGAAATAACTTGGCTATTCCTTAAATGCCTCTTAAGTTTTGTACAGATTTTCACTAAAACTGAATTCAGAAAGTGGAAGCAAGTGGTGACATGGAATCTGGCAGCCATGATGGAAGGTTAATTATGGTTTATTTCACAGATTTGGAATAAAATCCTGGCCCTTCTTAACAGCAATTGGAGTTTTTCCATTGACTTCACTGGGGCCAGCATTCTGCCCCAAATCTTTGGATAAGGAAAGATGTAATAGGAGATGTTTGTGAAGATTTCTCTTAGACACAGTTTTAATCTAATTTCTCTGCTGGCTGGGTGGTTTTGGCCCATACACTCTGTTCTCCTGAAGTTTTTTATGGCAGTTAAGTCAAAAGAGTTTGAGGTAATCACCTAAATCAGACTTAAGAAAGAATAACTGTTGTTTACTTCCATGTAATAATTAACACATATAATAAGGAATATTTGAACAATTCAGAGACAAGGCTGTCCAGGCGAGACAACACCTGTAGCAAAAGTTACAGAACTCAACATATTCAAGTCCTGCTAAAAAACAGTGGGCAACTTCTACTAATAAATTTATAACTAAACTGTGCTCAACACATAACTTTGAACCACAGCTCAGATGGAGACATTACTGGTATGGAGTCCAATTGCATTTTCTGTAACCCACATTTAGACAAAGGTCTTATTGACTTGGTTAAATGCTGCATGAAGGCAGACAGCATCAGGGGACCTGGGAGAAGAAGCAGATGTCTGTGAAGCTAGGACAAACAAAACCTAGATCCACTCAGCAAGATTTCATCTGTGGTAGCTGCAGAGGTTGTTGTCAAAAGGTGGAACAACTGAAACTATTTTATCTTTGGACATGAAATGCAGGCACTTTGATATGACCCTGATACTGCCTCTAATGGAACAAGGCATGTAGTTGAAACCATTATGGGCAGGTGGACTGAAAGCAAGAGGACTCCTTTACATTTTATGAGTGGTGGCACCAAAGCCTCTATTTTGAAAAACAAACACACAATCCTCTAAATGAAATACATCTTTGGTTGTATTTTCCTTAGTCTTATCATAATACCTCAGTAATACTTTGCATCTGGAAAGTGAATTATTCACAGATTATTCACCAAAAAAATGTAGAACTGAAACAAGATTAAAGCATATTTTTCTTCCCCAAATGTTTATAGAGGGATTAAGCAAGATCATAGTTTAATAATTTTGCTTTAAAAATAATTTGCTTGGCCCAGTATATTACAGCAATGTTTAGTGTGAGTATTGCAGCAAAGGTACGATATACTTAAAGGAGCTATTTTCTTTTCAATAAAGGGTCACTTTTGAATAGAATAGAGGACATGAAATTAGTTAAAATGCAAAGAAGGGACAAACGTACCCATTTAGGGAGAGCATGGCAGAGGCAACTGAGGGTTTCCCCCCAAATGGGGCCGTGTTCTCAGCCCTGATGTTTCTAGAGGTGAAAACTGTTAAGGTCACAGTGCAGACTAAAATTCAGCGAAATCCTAAACAGCGAACTTACTAGGACTGAAATTATTTGTATGACTGTAATGGGTTTGATACAGAGACATAAAGTGGTAAAAAAAATGCTACAGTTTCATGGACTGCTTTCAATATTTCTGGTTGATGCTTCCACACCCTGGCCAGTGAGTATCCGTAGTAGAAGGATGAGAAAGAAAACATAAGACTAAGAGGGGAAAGAGGCACATACATATGTGCAGAGAACAGCAGTAAAGACAGCTGTGAAATGTCTAGAGGGCAGCTAGATGGCAAATATCAGGGGAACATTACTGTCTCCTCCCTCAAACCCTGATCATCATCCATGACTGCCAGAGGGGAATGCAAAATGGCCAGAAACACCCAAACAAGGATTTTAGAGTCTTGTAGGAGCTCTGAGCATACTCAGGATAGCACCAGGTAGTGATTCTGTTTTCACTGAATGGAAAGTGGAGTGAGAGAAAGACAGGAGTGACAGATAAGCATGTATAGCTTTGCTGTTGTACTCTGCTAGCTCTGCAGGGAGGTTTTTCTTTGCTGAGCTGCTCCACACTGCACTCCTGGAACCCCAGGGTGTCACAGAGGTGACTCAACAGCATCAGCTCTAAATGGGGAAATGCAGTGCCAGCAGCTGGTGGACTTCAGAGGACACTTTGATAAAAGGGAGGATGGCAGAGACAATGGCAAAAGGGATTTTTAAGGAAGACAAACTAATAGTACCTTCCCCTACAGAAGTCTCTTTTCAAGGAACAGATCTAGTATTTTAATAACAGCGGTGAATGTAGTTATGTGTAAGGATGAAATCGTGGCTTTGGTGACTTCACGGGTCTAGCACTTCATGCAAAGGTATCACTTCAGATCTTCTGTATATACCTTTTCTTTTTAGAAACAGATTCACAGCTCTTATGTGACGGTATGACAGACTGGTAAATTGAGCCATGGGGAAGTTATAGCTGGACCCTGCCACTTTGTTCACACTCCAGTGAGCTCCCCTTGGAGAATTATTACTTCACTTCAGAAGGAGGCACTACTGGAGTTCAGTTATCCCATTTACAGAAAAACAGGTAGTAAAATCAGAAACTGTGTGACATTCATAGCCAACAATTTAACAGCAGACCCTGAAATATCACTTGCTGGGAATTTTCATTATACGGTGCCAACCCATTTAATTGGGAAGGTATTGGTTCTGAGAAAATTTTCCTTGAGCCTGAGACGGAGTTTCCATTTAAATGTTTCCAAGTAAGAAAGAGAGAAAGGGATTTCTTAGCCATCAATTACTCCACTGCTTGCTCTATAGAACTGTGACTGCTTTCACATACAAAGAATAGCTTCAACGAGGCAAGTAATAGACGAGAAAATCAGAATTTAGAACAAAATACCCAGGTTATGTTGATTTGGTTCAAATTCTTGTTCCAAATCAAACAAAACATAGATGTAAATCAAGATTTCCACCAGATGAAGTGAGTATTTTAACCACAAGCTTTTGGAACAGTTAAAAAAAAACCCAAACCCAAACAACAATAACAAAACCCAAATCAGAAATCCCCAATAATTTTCTTTGCAAAATGGAATTGTCATTAATGGCTATCCATAATCACGGCTGCCGGAACAGAAGAATATGACCTGGCAGACCACCCTGCTATTCTACATCAGGACTGAATGCACAACTTGGAGCTGGGGTTGCAGATACCTCACACTGTGATCCATTGTAAATTAGGACTTATCTCTCATTTTGAACTTTGTCCTTGTTCTAGGTCCGGTTACTTATTTCATACTGGAAACTCATTTTGATGATTAATGACTGACTATAGCCTAATTCTCTCTTTTTTTTTTCCTTTCATTTAAAAATAGTTGTTACTTTTCCAATGTAACAATTTCAACTAATCTCAAAGCCTTTTGAGTCACAGCTTCTATTCTTAGTTGGCTTAATGCAGTTTTTGATTCTCTTTTAAATCTGCATGCACAGATAGAAGCCAATGTAAATTAACTCAAAATTCAAATGATATCCTATACAATACCAAAACACCAAACTTCCCACTGCTATCCTATTATTTAAATTTTTAAATAACAAGATAAACATAACTTTAGCTAGAGTTCAGCCAGAGTTACCAGCAAATGACTCAGGATGAAAAAGCGAGTTGAAGAAGAATCAGTTTGTCATAAGAAAACATACCAAAGGAGTATTTATTTATCAATCTTTTTAGCTGTATTGACCAAGAATGATAGGCATTTTAGCCCTCATAAAGCACAGATAACTATTAACAGAATACTTTTCTAATATATATGGTCTAGAACAAGAAACTAATATGTGGCTATAAGTTTAATTTCTTTCTGTGCTTTAAAATTTTTTACTGATAACTAGGGAAGAGAACTACACAAATGGAAATTTAAACCTACTGAAGAACCTGACACCACATCTTAAATAGTATGTGGGAGGAATTTAATTGATATTTTCACTCCAAAATTCATTCTGTCTTCATTCATACAAACAGGTTTAGCCAATTTTCTTGAAACTTCTTTTTATACAATTTTATATACTCAACCTACTGTCCATTTTATGACACAAGCACTGCCTTTTTCACAAGGGATACTGCCTTGGCATTCTGGGTTTTTGCTTGTTTTTGGTTTTTTTAATGAATGATAAGGTTGGACCAAATATAGTCTAGCAGCCACATTTCTCAAACTCCATCCTGAAAAGCCTTGACCCTGAAATGTTCTCTAGTCTCCCACAGCTTTGACTAGAGGTGTTGGCCAAAATTCCCATTACCCTATGTGATATGAAGCCAGGCTGCATAGCTCAGTAAGCTGGGCCTAGCAAAAACCTAAGCAGATAGAGTCAGAGGCTTAAGTTCCCAACCCCATCAACACTGGGGACAGTAGCATCATAAGTCATAAATAGTCTACTGGGCAAATCCATCTTTCTTCAATGCCTACACAAACCTTTCAGTTCGCCTAGAGCATTGCAACCCAGCCTCTTCAGGAGGCGAAATAGAGAGATCTGTTCATTTTGTTTCAGCTACAATGATTGTCTGAGAAATCTTGAAGAACTCAAACTCATGTTAGTCACTAAACTTAGCAGACATTGGTGATCTGTGACAGATTTGTGAGACAAGAAAACCATTATTCCTTTAAATGTAAACTTTTATGAGCATAACTGCTCATTCTAACAATTCTGTGAAAGGGTCCGTGTTAGAGAGGGGATCATGGTTTTGAG